ATTAAATTTTAAATTCTAGTTCCCTGTCAATGGATTTTCAAATTAATACCAGTAATATTTAAAGTGAAATAAATTTTTTGTTCATTTGTTTTGCTCTTTATTCTTTAATTCTTATGAGATTATCATTATTGCAATCAAACYTAATAAAAATATATACATGCAAATAAAGCAATCAGGTCAGTGATAAATAAAACTTATTTTATTAATGTTTTCAACAAATAGTCAATTCTTAACATGAGTCACACTTATAATTTACATACTAATCTTACCTCGTTTCCTTTTGTTCCACYGGGAAAAAAAAACATAGCTGCAAGTATATTATGATTATTATTTAACATGAGTACAGCAGTAAAATAAACATTGTTTTTCAAAATCTTCTTTCCTCATCCACAAGAGGTTTTCTTGCTTCTTGACTTTTCATTCCTACTGGCCTTAAAGTTCTTTGCAGCCTTTCTGCTTTAGTGCTTAAAAGAAGTACTATGTTTTTAAGTGCATTACTACTTGATACAGTGAATAGCTAGAATCCAGAGCTTAAATTTCTTTAGAGTGAAGCCGTTAGGTGAAAATCAGGACTTTGCTTGATCCTCAAAACTGAAATGGAAAACAGAGCGGTCCAATGGATAGCTTGTCAGATTGCTTTTTATTATAGAACTAGTCTACAGTTCTATAGAACAGAAAACGTCTACCTTTTTTTCAGTAAAAGTTTTTTCATTAAAGCTTAGAATTTCTGTGAAGTCTCCTTCAAAACTGTTAATTAGTTTCTGACTTCCAGTCAATTAAATATTAGCCTAAAATAGTTCAATTTGGAGTCTTGTAGTGTTTTTGCCTCTGTGGTATGAAAGTTAGACCACACAGAAGGTCAAGAAGTACAAAACAAACATTAGTCAGTCTCTGTGGATTATGCAATTATTCGGTTCCTTCCAAACAGAGAAAAATGTTCACCGACAGAGAAGCAGATTTACAATAGCTGTGTAGGACAGAAAAGGTTTAATTACTGCAGTAATAAGAAGAACATTGTGTAAATGATTTTCTTAAAGTTGAAAAGGTTCTAAAAATGTTTTTCAATATAAATGTTAATATTGTATTTGTGCAAACTGCAAAAAAAGTGTTTTTGATACTTTTTGTGTATGCCATTTTCCTTTAATACAAGGCATGACATTCATTTGACTCAGTTCTCATCAATTTAACGTGGATGTAATCAGATGTGTTGCTTACGGTAGATCAACGGATACWTTTGTGGATGAGATGACATGATGATTATGCGAATAACAGAATTTGTGGCCTTTACTCCATTCACATATTATGCTCTTAGATATTGTCTCTAGTTGATTAGCTCCAGACATAATATTATAGTGAGGAAAGTCATGTCAATCTGTTGGAATCTTAATAGAAAATTACGGTAGCTGATTGTGGTGAAAGAAGCTTTCTAATGGAAGTCAATTTACTGGTTTTGATACCTGACCAGGTTGTCTGCTACTAACACATAATATATTCAAAAATTCAAGCAAATTCAAAGCATCTTTTTAGGAAGAGTGATAGTGTTTTATTCTCCTAGGAAATTCAGGCACTTAGCCGRCAATGTTGCAGTCTCAGTAGATGAAGTTCCAACCCATCGAGGTATTGCATAAAAGTTGAGAGCACAGAAGTTTTCCAAAAGTATTGCTGCATAGTATTTGTGCATACAGCAACATATAAATGAGTTTAACAGTACTGATTCTAACAGTCACGTTGGTATTTGGTGTGTCTGGGGACTGCTCAGGAAAGAGGAATCCATATTCATTCATTGAATTTTGAGCTCGAATGTGCAAATCCACTGCTGTATTTCAGACACCTGCATTGAGGGAATGATGTAAGATCACGTTATTATAGTATGTTCAAGGACAGTGGACAGTGGAAAACAATCTGAAAAGAGACAAGCAGCTTTTTACTTTACTGTTGCTGAACTATGATTTTATGACTTAAAATATGAAGAAAATCATTGGTAATTATTTTGTTAGCCCTGAGTGCAAGTTATAATGGAAACTCACTGATTTGACTTGTTTGGGTTRTTTTCACTCTTGCTTTTATGTCTATGTTTGAAAGATGTTAGTAGTATCATTCTGTATTATTTTTTTGTCTACTGTAATTACTGCTATTATCATTATCGTCTTTTTATTAAAAAAGTGAATTAGCTGCAGAGTACGTTATACAAATATGATCCTCATCTCTCTTTCATTAGTAGAAGCCAGGAAAAACTAAACTGTAGAGAATGTAGTTATCTTGATGAATGGTACCTGGCAGGAAAATCAGCGTGTGAAAGTTTGCCCATTTTTTATAGAATATCACCCTTCTGCTTTCATGTTAGAAGGGAATATTCTCTGCCCTTCGCTCTCTGAATCTCTTGCCTGTAGTGCTGAGTGTGCAATCCAGAGCCACCCACGGATTTACAAACCACTTGGTCCAAACAAAGCCTTACGATTAAATCATACACTTAAAATGCTAAAAGCAAGAGGAGGATTATGAAAATCAAATCATTTAACAMTATGCAATTGTTAAAAAACGCTAGTGCTTTTCTAATCACATTGAGGAAGATGTTAGAGGTGATATTTTTACCTCCCACCTCATCTTTTGTTTCTTTGAGGCTTCAGAAGAGCGGTTTCACTGAATTCAAATGAAATGAGTCGGTTCAGGATTTAATGTTACTGGTAGGTGCCTACATATGGAATGAATGCTTCTTTATGCCATCTTCGTAGTGTCTCGGTTTATTATTTATTTATTTATTTATTTATTTATTTATTCATTCATTCAAACCCGTCCTCTGCCTAATTTATGGCAAGGTTAGGATAGCAGAAAGTGCAGTAACTGCCGAGCTGCTTCCTGAGCCGCAGAGCGAATGAGTTGTGCTTTCCTGCAGCTCAGTGCCCTTCCTCCTTCCATCTCCCCTGCAGAAGCACCGGCCCCCTGCCCAGCACCATTTGCTCTCTCTCATTTCACCTACCTCTTGCTGCTCTGCGAGCACCACGGGCTCTAGTTCAGTCCAGGCCAAGTTAGTGCTGAGGGCCATCTGGTAGGCTTAGCAGCAGGCAAGTCTTGAAGTGATTAATTGAATGCAAAGGGAAATAAATTCACTACCAGAAATTCTCAAAAAAAAAAAAAAAAAAAATCCTTGCTTAAAGATAACCTGGAAAAAAACCTACTAGATATAAGACACAGTTTCCAGCTCAGAAGCAGAGTTTTAGATTTAGTCCATTTAAAAAGTTTGTCTATGTAACAAAGTCGGGAGACAGGCACCTTGAGAATATGTTTTGTTAAATAAACATGTAAAACATGTCGAAATATCACATTTTGTGAATGCATTTATTAGAAACTGAATGTGTGTTCATTGTAGCTACTGTTCAGATCTCAGTGTTGTTAGATCACTCYTTAATCTTGCTAAAGGTAATCGCTGTGTTTTTCAAATTTCATTTAAAAGTTAGCAGATTCTGAGCTCCTACAGATCAAATATAATGCTTCATCTGCTATTCTTATTTCTTTGCCTCTTGCAGAATATGAAAAGCCAACTAGGGTTGTTTTAATATTCGATATGTTTGGGGGTTTGTTTGTTTGTTTTGTTTTTGCTTACAAAACAGGTACCCCTTATATTTCAGTTGTCTTTAGCCTGGTAAGTCGCTATGGAGAATTATGAACCAAATGTTATATGTATTGCAGGTACTAGTGGAGTTACTAACTTTAATTCCTGACACAAAATCAAAGAACATACATCTAGTTTCATATATAGACATCAAGGTATATTTGTAGGATTAAATGAGGTCTAGTTATCTTTAGAATCCAAAGTTAACTGCTGTTGAGTATGTATTGGGTAACTCTGTAATCACAAACTGTTGCAATTACAAATTAGCCTGGGTCAACTTATGCAACCCATTCAATTAAATCTAACTAATTTAAATCTAGCTAACAGCTGACAGAGAGCTCACAAGCCGTGGATGACACTCACTTGGGAAGGAAATGCAGCTGCCAAAAATTTGGGTGACCCAGGAAGTAATTTGAAACAAGGGTGGCAAGAACTTTCCTTCTCTTAAAGTTCAGATAGGTGCTATTAATTCAAAATAATACAAGCCAGTCAAAATCATTCTTACCAAAAGTTTTGTAAAGACTCAGGTAATTACCTGGGATGTATCTTTTTTTTTTCTTTTTCTTTTTTTTTTTTTTTTAAGTAACAAACTGTAGTTTTCATATGATTAATGTAAAATATTCTAGTCTGTGAAGTGAAAGTTTTTTGCATCTGGTCTAGCAGCAAAAAGTTGTTGATTTAATAAAAACAGCATTTGTCAAATAATGTGTTTGTATGTATAGAATACGATGAAGGGAATGCAATAGTATCTTCAATTGTAAGCATTTTTAACAATTAATTTGTTTTTAAATACTGTGATATGAAATAAGTATAGACATATGGATAACTCTTGTAAGCTTCTTTCTCAAGAATCTCAAAAATCAAGATTCCTCATTGTTCTATAAAATAAACAACATTAGAAGTTTTGTGGGTTACATGGTCACAGTGTTTTACGCCTTTGATCAGAGGAGCAAAATAAGCTCTCTTAAAATCTTTTAAAAAAAAAAAAAAGAAAAGAAAAAAGATTCGACCAATATTCCCCTGATGGGCACGTCTAAGTCTTTGATTCATGGAGTCAGGCTTTCCTTAAATATAAAAGTCCTCCTTTGAGGAGGATGTAAATTTAATATGCCCATTCATTCTGAGCAAGTTTGCTGTACAAAAATTACATATTTAGAGATATAGAATAAAAGCAATCAGTTAAATAAAAATGTTTCTTAATTAAATGCTTTGTAAGATTTCTTGCTGCTTGGATTTAAGTTTAAAGAAGAGTACAGCCTAAGACCTAAATAGCTTGCTTTGTGTGATAATATAATGTGTTTATCTTGATTTTAGAACAAAATATTGAGAGAACAAGAATAGTGGAATTCTTTTCTGATGTCCTATTTCTGTATTCCGTAGGTCTTAAAGTACAACAAGGAAGAGAGTCTCGGGCACAGAGTAAAAGTGAGTATTTATTTATTTAGGCTGTGAATTACTGGGTAACTGAAAAAAGTGCTGCATATCATACTGTCTCATGGTTTTAATAAGGATGTCTGGACATCTCATTTTTATGGTGTTCTAAGGCCATCCAATTTCCCTTTTAGCAGTAATACATAAAACTCATGACAAGAACTTCAACAGAAACACAGATTGTAACCAACTTGGTGTCTTTGTCACGTAAGCATTTTCTTTGAACTCAGAGGACACTTGAAAGATGGAGGAGSAATATTTTACATCAAGATAGCTAACCTTTGCTGAGACTGTTTATGMATGTATACAATTGCATAACACAGTTAAGAACCATTTGTAGTTGAATTCAGTTGTGACTTTAATTTTATGACTGTTCTTTCCTAAAACCACTTGTGCTGAGTGGCTTAGATTTCTTCTTTATTGGTGGATTTGAATATGAAATATTGAAGATGTGAGAATATTGTTCTTCATTTTTATTGTTTGTTTTTCATAACTAACTAGTGTTCTTCTTGTATCTACATTCTTTGCACAAAATACTGATTATTTATTTGAAAAAATTATTTGTTCCTCATTTAATGAACCAAAAAAACAAGATGTAAAAAACCAACATTTTAGAACATGCGGGCATTTATTTAAAATGCTTTTTAACAAAAACTGGAGTGAACTATACTATAAGTCTTCTTCTGTGTGGTTACTTGGAAAGCTGTTAATAAAAAAGAAAAAAAAAAGGTAAATTTACTGATACCTGCGGGAAAATCTAGAACAGTGGTCATTCATATTAAATTTATATCAACTTTATGAGGTTTTTGTCATCTTGACACATTTATGGAGCTGTTAAATTTTAGCTGCCTGGGGGATATAATGTACTTGATGTGACCCCACATATTAAGTTGGGACCATACAAGTAATTCTGATGACATGTCATTCAAGAATAATACAGAGCCAAGTCTTTCTAGAGGAAGGACATATAATGAAAGAGAAATAGGTAGAAAAACAGGTAATGTGATCTATATAAAAAGGGAGACTTGAGAAAAAATGAAAATTGTACAGACATTTAATCTGATACCTCACAAAAAATCTCCTACAATAGCTCATGGGTGATAAAACTGGGTATATGACTCATTCTTCAGTAACCTAAAATACTTTCCATGGTGATGACATACAGTCTGAGTGAGCAYGTTGACAGGGTTTATTTTACTTTTCAGCATTATGTACTTTATAGAAGCAGTGCTTTGGATATAGATATGCAAGAGAACATAAATAAGGTGTATTGAGACGCTATACTATTACTCTGTTGCCATTACTTTGCTTTGGAATTGCCATGATCCTTAGGAATCCAGTTTTACAATAATTAATTTGGTTGGCTTGAATACAAAACCTTTTTGAAGTCCTACTTTGAAATTAATATTTGATAGCTCGAGAATGTCAGTGTACCTTGTAGTTCATGGAGATCAAACTTAGAATTAACAGTAAAATAAGCAGGAGTCTGTATCACTTATCAGAGGGTTTTCAAGCTCAGCAGAAGTCAGTTGATCATCAAGAAAGTAGATATATTTCTCTATCTCTGAGCTTTGTATATTATTGTCTCTGCTCATTCCTTCGTGTTCTTCACAACATATGGACACTTTGGCTAAGATTTTAGATCAAAGGGAAATGCTTCATCTCAAAATATTTGTTTGTTTAAAAAGCTGTTCAACAAAGCTGAACTTTTGTTTAGATTCAAAATAATATGTAAAATGCGTTCTCTGCATCACAGCYAAACTCTTGGTATTCTTAACCTGGCACTGTCTACCTAGACAAGTACATATCACATGAAGTCTCACTAGGAAGCATTGATTATAAAGCTTTTTTATTTCATTTAGAGAAATGTAATGGTGACTTTTGCCATTTATAAACACTGTACTTGTTTAGTATTTGTTGAACTGAATCACAGCAATGCAGTCATTCAGATTTTATGCTTTACAGTGTCTGAAGTCCCTTTATGTTCTACATAAAGCTGCCAGTTCCCTTCGTTCTTAGCCTATGAATGTTTTGAACCTATCTGTCTTCTTCCTGTAAGTTCTGGAAAGTCTRTGTAGGTCATAGGCTTTGAAAGGTTAAAGAGATAAAGAGAAATTCAAACAAGAGAAAAAAAAGTAGTAGACATTTTAGAGCTAAATAATATGTCTTTGCTGTTCCAATTAGCTATTTAAAAATATAGATACATATATAAATTATATATATATGTATAGTCCCAGCATCCTCTAACATAATGTTTTTCCGTGTCCAGAGAGTGCTGAACCAGCTTTGACTAATGGTAAAGTAGCCAAGAGCTGTTCTCATTAGAGTAAATTTCTTATGCTAAGCAGGCAAGAGACAGGCAAGTTCCACAAATCGAGTTTAGTCCACGAGTCTCCTTGGCAGGTTGTAAATCACAGCATCTAAAATTTTTCATCTCACTGATGAATAAAGTTGAAAACAAAGGTATTAATAYTATCATGTCAAAGATATATATGCACTCTTGTGCCATATATTACATGTATAGCAGTGAATTTTAAGGAAGTTTCTSTTATTTATGTAGCTGTATTAAAAACTTAGTTACCAAAGGAGAGTAGTGGATATCATTTTTAAGAAATAATCATTGGATATCATTACCAAGAAAAGCCTGTTTTACTAAGTCTTCAAAACTATGTTATATATGAACATAATGTTGGCAATTTAATTTAGCTACTTTTATTTTTAATTTGTGGTTTTTTTTTTTTTTTTTTGCTATTCATTCAAAAGATGTGTTGTAAATTCAGTTATAGAAAAAAATCTCTCTGTGACTGGGCTTGGTTTTTGAGGACAAAATAGGAACCTCCAATGGAAAATGAATAATCCATGAATTTATGATTAAAAATAGAATATGTGTCAAAACTGAACATTTTTACATATGCCTCCTTGTGTGTAGAAGAACACCTGCATTACAGAGGCTTCTTTATAGGCGATTTTTTTTTCTCCACCAAATGCTAGACCTTCCAGAATCTTTTTGTGCTGGGCCACATGCCTGTCAGTAGTGAGGCTAAAGCTGGCACAGATCAGTGCAAAATGATTCTGAAGACCTTAGCAGAATCCTGTCCAATTATACAGTATACCATAGTAGTGTGTGTGTGTATATATATTATATATAATATAGTGTATGTGTGTATATATCACATAATAATATATAGACAGAGCACTCTGTACTTGTGACTTGCCCTAATGCAAAATGAGAATAAGAAGTTTGCCATATTTTAAATTCTATTTCTGACAAGGTTTATACATGTTACTATCAAATATTTTACAAAATCAAGGTAAAGATCTGAATTTTTACCAACTGAGGCCTCTCTGTTTCCAGCTATTAGAAGAACAAGTCAGTCAACAGTCAATTCAGATGACAATGTTGTCATTGGAACTGGAGCTTGAAATTTGTGCATGTGAGATGACTGTTACCGTGCCAAAAAAAAATCTTATGAGATACTGAAAAATGATTGTTCTGAGCAAAAGTAAAGCAGAGCAAGTTTATCTATAATCAGATTTTTTGACCATTATTTTAATAAGAGCTCCTGGTTCCAAGATTCATTTGGTCCAATCTATGTTTAGATTCATCCATTAGTATTTGAATTTTTTCCAGTCTGTGATCCTGCTATTTATCAACAGTCAGTCAGACAAGATGAGCCTTCTTACTCAAGTAGATGAAATATTTCATTACAATTTCCATTGTCACAGAAACAGAGAAAAAATATTCTGATCTGAAAACTATGTCAAAATATTTAAATCTAAATTGTTTTAATTGAACTTATTTAGCTCATTCATCCAATTTAATCTATTTTTAAAGCTGATGCTTTGAAATCATCTTGTGGTTTTTAAACAAACTGTTCTGTCAGAGCATTCTTTATTTGTAGGATTTCTTATTCCAGCTACTATCCTATTAACTTAGCCATTTTCAATTGCTACCTGATAGTACTATGGGTGTTTCACAATCTTCTTTTCCACAGTATCATAAGAAAAACTAGGTTATGTGAAATRAGGAGCATTGTATCAGTTAAAGTTTATTAAGAATGTGGACGAAATGATGTTTGTGGACAGAYTGTCAAAGACAAATATTCTGAGCTATGCAGTGTACCAAGAAAAGATGCTGGTGCTTTAATTTTCTTTTTCCAAGGCCTTTTTTTTTTTCTTTTGGCCTTTCTTTCACGGAAAGATTTTCTCCAGGAAAAGAAGTGCTGAGTTCCTGTACTGATTGAGTCTTGAACTGTCCTCTGTGCATTGCAGAGTTCTTCCATCCATCTTTATAGGGTTTCAGACTTTAAAAGTGCCAGTGTTTCTCCTGTGACAATAGTACTGATCCCAGAATAATAAATTTGAGCCATTAGCTTTCCAAATTAATTTACATTGCAGCTAGTGAAAGTTATACAAAAACACTAGAAAAGATCTTGGAAGTAGACTTSTAACAAGTCTGTTTTTGAAAATGACCAGTGTGTTTTGATGTTTAGAAATSATCTATTATGCATATTTACATGTTCTAAGCACTTATTTCAGGCTTTAGGAGGATAACCACTTAATACAGCTATTTTTGAATAACTATTATTAAATAATGGACAATAGTTTAAATCTGTCAGCATTAGCTCTTTCCATAAATTCAATTTGATTTCATACTTTATAATTCACAAATTAGTTTAAAAAWTTCTCAAAATATAGGCTACATTTCAGTTAACCTGATTTATAATAAAGATTACTTTCTAAAAATTGTGGAGCAGATATTGGAATAAAAAGGGAAATAAAACGCCTTTAGAATTGTGTCTGAATCTTGGGTCCTATTGCAAAGAAATGAATAACAGGATTTCCACTCTTTTTTCAGTGTACCATATATTTATACTGATTATGATAAGGAAGTTTGGGCTGAAGCCAGTCCCCAGGTGAAACTGAAGCAATGTAATTCACTGTAGGGAGAAGAAAATTTACACGATATTTGGCATGATTGCAACACCACTTAATTTTAAGATGCCGGGGAGGTAATACATTTCAGTCTGGCAACAAATTGATGGACTTTATTAGCTCCAGCAATATTATGGTGAAGAAATGATAGTGAACATCCCCTTCTACATTCAAACAATAATTCTGTCATCTCAAAGAATATTGGCTTCAAATATAGTTTTATAAAAACTTGAGACTGTTATTGACTCTTGAGACTACTCGTGTTCATCTTCTCATGTTGATAAAGCTGCCTATGTGGTTCCCTGTATGTTGAATGAAAACATATTTCCCAAGTGGTATCAGAGGTGAAAATAGAAAGGAATGAACTTCCAGGAACTACTGCAAGCTAGGCTGAGATAATTAATTAGAGTATTTCTAAAGCAAAAAATATTTTGGACAGCATGACAGAAGTAGATGTGTGTTGTGGTTTTGGTTTGTTTTTA